TCTGGGAAGTAATATGTGACAAAATAGTACAATATTATTTATGTATTAGAAATAAAATAAATGAATCTATGTATAATTATGTATAATAATCTACGTATATTATCTATGAAAAATATCCACATTGTAGTAAAGTTAATTAAAATTTTTTAATTTCTTAATATAGCTTATTATTTTTTCGCATTAACTTGATGAAGATTGAGATTTGACTTTGCAAGAAACTTAAAAATTTATATGTTCTATATTACAGCAAGTAGACTGCAAGTATATTTGTTTCGATTATTTTGCTATAAATAATTCTGATAGCTCTTCTAAAGCTTAATCTGTTACAATGGGATTCGTTTCGAACAATAATTCCTAGGCGTATCAATTAGCATTAATATCTGACATTAATGACAAAAATACAACAATAATAACTTAATAATATTTAATTATTGGACGTGTTTAGTTGTCGTACTTGACAATTACACATAATTTATCACAGATACTTACACCTGCGACTGCCGATGATTTGCGAATGGCAGAAAAAATAACTTTGAATCCTACCGAGACTTCAGATGCTGACGGTAATAAAGCTGTTCAGGTGAAAGTACCAGTGGTTGCTACTGTGATGCAGAATATCGAACCTGATGGCAGATCGACCTTCATCGTCGAGCCTCCTGGTGCGGAACAGGAGCAAGGTAAGCTCTCTCGTCAATCTTGCAAGGCGAGACGAGGAAGAAGGAGACGTGCTCCTCTCTTTAATCTGTCGTCGTCAGATGATCTGGTGACAGCATTGGATACGCAGTTCTCTCCTTCCGTGCTCAATCGCAACGAACCGGACCGGCAAAATGGCCTGAACTCAACTACGTCGATAGACGAGTGTAACGAGTTACTGGAACTAGCCGCGCAAGGTGGAATACAGTTTGTTCGCGCCACGGAGGATGGTCGTTACGAGGTAATGTAGAAACGATTACCACATTCAACGTATGAAGCTGTGTTAGCGCGCTCGTAACAGCTCGTCCGTTAATAGTCACGTTTGGGGAACAGAATGATTGTTGGATCTCTTGTTGAAACTCTCTCTTAAAATAACTTTCCCTACAATTTAATTAAATTATTCATGCGGTATATTTTTGCGAGCTCTAAAAGATTTTTCTTGTTGGTAACATATTTACTATACGATCATATCGTTTGAATTAATATAATTAAAGAGCTCTAAAAAATAAATAATTCTCACAGAAAAAGATTTTACATTAATAGAAGCCATTAAATATCAAAAAAAAAGTTTAAATAAAATAAATATATTAAAAAAGAATTACATTTTGGGTTAAATAGATCCGAACAGTTCAGCAGAGTTAAGATGAATTATCTATATGGTAACTGTGCTTTAAACCCGATTACTATGATAAACTTGAATAAAATCGAGACGAAGACAATTATTGATGTGGTGGAAATTTAATATAAGAGTACGAATCCCAAGCTATAACATCATCTTTCTTTATCTTTGAAAGGACGGCGTACTCTTTTTTACGCAGAACCGACATTACGCCGTCGACGTCTTTTCAATCGACTTTTCGACTTACAGTACGCGCGACACATTCGGAATATTCACGTCAGGCGCCTTCATTCCTTTACATAGAGTTCTCTATTTAGAGAACTGCTGCGTTGCCGCGTTTGCGAAACGTGTTGTGTAATGTACTCATAGGAACATATAGCTGGAATTTATCTTTGGCGCTTCTTCAAATTAGCCGTAGAAACCCAATTAATTTTAGCCACTATATCGATAGACTCCAAATACTACAAGAGTTTTAATTAAATCCTAATTTCCATTGTAATTCCGTGAAGTAAGCTTCGGAAAGCTAATTGATTTTTATTAGTGAAAAATTTAAATTGATAGACAAATTCTACATATTTAAAATCTCAAGAATCCATTTCCGTTTAAATCCTCGATTTAAATCTATCTTATTTTAATATAATATTTTGGATTCATCTCTGTAAGGATGATTATGATTTGTAATTGCGATTTATATGATTTTTTTTTGTAACAATAGGAATTACCGTGGCTAGAAAATATTATAAAAATGTTTTTTTTGTATGTTGTGTATATATGTCACACAGTTTGCCTTGTCGTAATAAATTATTCCGGTCATGACGAAGCTTTAAACAGTTCAATGCCCTTACACGCACGCGTTATGGCTGCAGGTCATGACGAACAGCGAGGCTCGCGACTTAATGGCGCAGAATTCCCACGACGTAACGATTCTTGACGGTGAACAGGCGGATGCCATCAATCTCGTGAATATACGCAATAATAGTGATGTCATCATCGGCGACAACGATAATCAGATCATGGTGCTGGAATCCGGCCAAAAGTCCAGTGGTATGTCAATGGACGACATCGAAGTTCTTGAGGATAAAGATATTAGAATTCTCGATAGTAAAAGCCTCGACGATCGTTTCGCGGATGGCATGTCATTTCTTTCCCAGACCAAAATCGACGATCTCCTGCTGGGTCCCAAATCGCTGCCTATCGATGGCGATGGCGCTCTTGCCGGGCACGACGATGGTAGGTGAATCGATGTCGTAATATCATGATTTACAGAAATCCTTTAGATGTTCGAGATTGTTGCACATTTTCTCAATTACAAGTCAGTTTAAACAGTATTTTTATAATTTAATTCTCCACTGGCCAAGTAGACTTACAAGACAACGATGTTTTGATGAATTTAGATTCGTAAAAAATAAATAAAATAAATAAAATCTAATTTCTCTATGATAGTAAAAATTAAAGTTTTCATAAGTACGCAAGAATTTTTTCAGATTTTTATGCAATAAAATAAAAACGATATAAAACATATACGATATAACAATATAAAAAAATTTGCATTGAAGTTCGAAGAAGATTGCTGACGGAAGATACAAAATTCCACATAGGCGATGGAGAATTAAGTAGTTAATAATTATTAATTATGTTGAAAAAATATATCAGAATTTTTTTAGATTTTTTAGAGCTCAAAAACCTTTTAAAAAATATAACTGTCCCTCACTGATCCAGATAGTCTGATTAACAATAAGTTGTGAAATTCGGGATTGTCTGCGGAGATTTAATTAAAAAATCCGGATGAAAATACAAGAAAGAAATTACGCAGAACAACATGATGTTAGAAAATAGATTCGTCGAAATAGTCTTATAACTTTTGTTATTATCAATTTCAGTAATGACTGTGACATCGAGTCAACAAGATCTAACGAGCATTTTGGGTCATTCGTCAAATCTATCTACCAATTCGCAATCCTCGTTATCATCTCTATTCATGAAGAACCATACGCCATTGTCGTTGTTGAGCGAGACACTACCGTACCTAAAGAGCAATCAGAGCCTCGCAGAAGATCTAAATATTCTTGGTGTCTCCCCCATGGAAGATCATCATTCGGAATACGATCCGAAGATGAAATTATCGTCAGTCTTCGATGACGATTGCGATACTGGATTAATGGCTTTTGGTCAATCAGACATGAAAATGCTCGACCCCGGAAGTCAGTGCATGAAGGTACAGTTAATTAAACATTGCGCGATAATTATTGAGAATACGCTAGACAAGAATACATTTATACGATGAATTTTATAGTCTTTCAGTGACAAATTTTGTTTGCCACCCCCGAAGCTATATCCCGGCCTAAATGAGGTAAAGATCTTGGGACCGAAAAATCACAGTCATGAGTTTATGGCTCCACATTATCAAGATACTAGATTCCTTAGTCCTTACGAACAGTTCCTCAAGAATACTTCCATGCAAAATGTTTGTGTACCTAATATCATCGACGCATCGGAAGGATGTAAAAAGGAGGTGAAAATACTCGGTAAAAGACTCGGTACTGGAATTATTACTACGACTGAGGAAGGTGACATCGTCAAAGTTATTGATGACAAACCTAAATTTGTAAGTAAAATCATATAATTTTTTTTTTTAATTATTTTGTAAAAGATAATGAAGTAATAAAAATTTAATCATTAATTTATAAACGTTATAACATAAATATATTTGTCTATTATAATTTATAACGAGATAAATAACGATTCATTAATAAAGATTAAGTCGAGACATTCTAATTATTTGATGAAATGTTTGCTATTTGATTGTAGGAAAATACATTGGATCTCTGCGATAACGTTTTGCAACAGTGTACGACCATGTCGCCTAGACGATTGCACCGGCAGCCACCGATAGAAAATGACGCGGACAACTTTTTGCTTCAAGTAAACACTTTCGAAAATAATTATTATAAGAGCGACGATAAAGAGAACCTTTTTCGAACCTATGCAGGCTGGCAGTCCCTGTTCGGATTTTCTGAATTTCGGTAATCGCCTCGCCGGTAAAGATTTGTCGCCCGACGGTCACATTGATAGAAGTCAGAAGGATGATCGCGGAGATAGTTTCACGTCCGGAGAAATGCTGGATCTGGATTGACGAAACGCGGACGTAGATAAAACGGACTCTTACTTCCGGAATTATTCGTTTTTTTGTATCGCTGCGGTTTGCCTGGCGAAGTATTCGTGCATTGCTTCGATCCTGTTCGGTGCGTATACAGAAATGAAAGGTAATATGTGAATAAAAAATAATTAAATTGCAATGAGGAGGAAGGTGCATTTTGGCAATTTTATAGTTTTCCGTTCTGCAAAAAGTTGCACATATTTAATACGATAGACCGAATTTTTATTACTTACGTATTTTTACTTGAAAATTTATGTTGCTAAATAATGAAGGATACTACATACAAATTATCCTAATATTTTTGAGAGTGCGCAACGATTGATTCGCTATCGAAGGCTAAATAAAATATTTCGCGAAGTAAAAAATTAATATTATTTCCAATCAATTTTAATAAATATATTTGTAAATCGAAATACAAATAACCGTTCTTGAATTACGCTATATCGCTATTTTCAAGTTTTCTACACTGATTTACGTAATATGTATAAAAAAAAATCTGTCCAGTATTTTATATTTAGATATTTTAATGTTGAAGAATAAATGAAAGTCTTTTTCGGAGCTCCTCTCTTTTATTCGGTAATAAAAAATAAAATATGGTATATATCCATTAGAACGAGAAAAATCATCTCAGCATTGCTGTTTTTAATAAATACGTGGGATAGAAAGATACGAAAGACTGCGGTATCCCGATACGAAGGTTATTTAGATTTATTCGCGAATTCTCGACTCGGCAATATTTTCTCCGCATGTACGTGCCAATACCAATAGGTGGAGTGGTTAATACCGTCCGCCCTGGCATCTATCCCTGCTACTTGATAGTCAGTTCCCATTCGGAACCGCACCGTCTTATATAGTAACCTGTACAAGCAATCTGATTTGCAATTTGTGGGATTTATTATAGAATTGACGCGAAAGACAAATTAGTTAGCAGTTTGTTGACGTTTGGATTATTATATTATATGCGAACTGTTCGTAGATATATATTTTTAATCGGGATATATCCAGGCAGAACATAAAAGTCACCATGATATCAAAATGGCTCCAAAATGATTATCAAAAATCATTTTTTCATTAGTTACAATTTTTTAAAATGTCTAAACAACGTTATCGTGACCTGTTGTTCTGCTTGGATAATATCTTAAAAAATTATGTGCTTGATTATATTTTTAAACAAAGTTTGATTTTTGTTCTTTTTATGTTACATTTTATCACTATACAATAAAATATAAATTTATAATGACAGAGATGTTGGTTTGTAAATGTAACTACCATGGTATACCCATCGAGTGATATCTTATGGTTGGAGTTAGCATTTATCTTCACTATTTGATAGTCATAGAAATCTTTCTACATTTAGATAACATGGGGGAAGAAAATGTAATATAATATCTCGGAAAACGTAAGATTGAAATAAGCGCAATAAGTTATAAAAGAAAAGAAATGACATTGCTTATTCGTATCGATAAGCAAGCATTTCTGATATGAAATTGTTGGGCATCTTTTTCTTTGGGAAGTGAATTTTTTGATCAAATTGAAATTTATCTCGTCTTCAATTTGAGATGCTTTTATTGAATAGTTAATAAACTGGTTAAACTTATCTTCATTTTTCTTCGTGAAACATAGAATGGCGAGTAGCAAATTAATAAAATTTTGACGGCGACACGTTGCTGCTTACGAACGCGGCGCCATGTGCGCGAGCAAACGTGTCGGAAAATTTACTTTTCTCCCGCAAAAGCCGGCAACCCGCCGTCGTCGCAGCTCGCAAATACGCAAAAATTAAGTTGTAAAAGTCGCTCCGAATCGCTCGCGCTTTCCAGCCACGTCTGCCGCGAAGAAGAGTGAATCCCACGGAAATTCCATTCGTTCTTTCCCCATACCCCGTGCATCTCCTCCCCGTTATTCACGGGACCTCTCAGAAGGGAATTCGTGGCCTTTTCTCGGCTGCTTTGCATCGAATTATTTAAAAATGCACCCGACGTACCGAGAAACATCTACTTAACTTGAAAGCGCTTCGGGACGTTCTTAACGCGCCGGAAGTACCGTGAGAACAATGGCGTTAACGATGACTCGCTGTCATTCGACAACATCTTACCTACAAAAGACGAAGAATTCGAAATTCTTAAAAGCCGACCGGGATGCTTATGACTATTCCTAACTAATGTTTCCTAGGCTGTAGGATTTTCATCTTCTGCGATACATTGGTATTTCATAATTGTCATTTAATGTATTTCTTTCACACAATAGTTTTCTCAATAATGTATCAAATTACGTATAAAATTTTATCTTTTACGGAAAGAACGGTTTTTTTTGCAAAAATATATATATCAAAACCTCGTATTAATTATATGGAAAATTGCACAAATTTTACATCTTTGATACATCAGCTCAAAAAATATCCATTATTGAATCTTATATTTATAATATAATTTGTTCATCATCCCAAATAGGATACAGAATAATATAGTATATCCTATAATATCATAATGATATCATAATGTCATTTAATATTTAAAATTGAGTTTATAAATGACAAATAAGGTCATGATGATGTCCTTGTGATATTATTATGATTTTTGATTGAGATATAATTATATGTGATGTATTAACTTAATTAACTTATTTTACCGGAGCTTAATTTATCATAGAATTAGTAAATGTCGTACTAATTATGATGAAAATTACAAGTTTTATTACATCTTTATTACATTTTTGATACATCATAGATCAAAAACTACATACTGTCTATTATAGAACCTTCAATGACATTTTTGTTCACCACATCACAAGTTACATTATGTGAAAAAATTCTTTTCATCAGGATTTCATTTTTTATTTAATTAGAAAAAGATTAAAAAATTTTGATTAAAATAAAAATTAGAATGCTCAACGCTCGTTAAAATCAAAATTTTATACAGCATTATGAATTACGCTTGAATTTTCTATGTAACTATTTCGGTAATCTAATAAAATTATTTTCAGCCTTATATCTATTAAATTTTTAGATATTCAGCAAAATCGTTCTTTCCATGTAGAAACGTATCCTGAACGCGCGCGGGCGGTTATTATCGGGTAATCATTTCCAATAAATCCATTTATGGATAGCGATTTATCGAGCAAAAAGAGATTAGCGCAAGCGTCGCTGATCGCAACGCGGGAGATAATTGAATTTGGCTCGGCGGGCTAATCGCATTTTTGTAAAGAACCGTGCGATGAGAATGGCCGAGGATGAGCATTCTTGCTTTATAACGTAATTGCAGCAGAAAGTATTCCCGCGTTAGATCACTCGGCGCATTATGGCTCCGCAGCCAGTATCCCTATAAGCTGGGAAAGAACGCTCGTTCTTTTCCACAGAGGCGCGAGATTTCTCCCGCGGGTATAACTTTGGTGAGCGAAACGGCCCCGCGGATTATCTGAGGAAGTGCGAAGAGGCTTTTAACTCGGTATAATTTATTTAAAAGCTGAGGCCGAGGGGGCTGGCCGCGAAAGGGGAATCTCTGAAGAAACAGCCTTAATTAGCACGGACTTTCTTACTACCGGCAGATTCTGCCTTAATTTTCGCAGATGAAAACCGCGCGATCCACCTCTTCTTCTTCATGCTTTTTCTTTTCGCAAACCTCTCTCTTTCTCTCTTTCTCTCATCTTCTTTTTCTTCTTCCCTCTTTCTTCTCAATGACTTCTCTTCGTACTTTTCGATATCACCGCGCCTTTGTCCTTAAACGCGTTTGACAATTCGCGGTAAAGAAAAGTCCACGTGTTGATTAAATCCTGCAATTAAGGGCAGCGATGTTCAGTCGAACGTATATGCGGGATTTAATGTGCGACGAGCAAAGTTGAAGTCTGAATGTAATATGATTTTGCTCGATTCGGTGGACTTTATGTAAAGCCTGTCCCACATTTATCGCAACTGCGTAATATGCGGAATCGATTTTAGCTTGATGAAGATTTGATGAAAGTTGTGTAATCAGAAAGATATTTAACATTGCAAATGAAAAAGTTTAGTTTTCGTAAGTTAATATTCAAGAGATGGATTCTCTTGGTTAATCTTTAGATTTTATAGTTTAAAAGAAATTTTATTTAACTTTATCATAAAAATGTACGGTATTAAAAATTTAGAATCTGTAAGTAGTTCTTCCGTGAGTTTTAAAAGAATTTTATTATGAGCGATGAACGAGACTGTATTTCGCGGATTAGACATACTGTTCTCACTCACTGCTTTTCACCGACGTTACGCTGAGAGAAAAATTCAGTACTTGATTATAATCATCGCATGATGAAATAATTGTGATTAGAAGCTCCATTTTTTAATTATTATTCTATAATGTTAGTATAATAATTTATTATACTAATTATATTATACTAATTATATTATACATTATAATAA